TTATAAGATATAATAAAAATAATAATAATGATGATGATGATGATAATATATTTTATATTTTGAACACCATTAATTTCAAATTTCATTAGCAGATTGTTTTTTGTTTTTCAGTCAGATGTCGTTATGTGACTATGAATATATGCTTGGTTGTTGGTACTATACTGTTCATAACATTTCTTGTTTTGGCAGTCACAATTGAAGGAGTATTTGAAAAGATAATTTTTGCAGTGTTGGCAATGGTTAGTGTTAGTCCTCACATCTACAAAGCCCAGCAAAAGACTCGGGAGTGGTACAAAAACCATAAGGCAAAAACTACGACACTGACGCAATCATCGTCTGAGGAGTATAACCATCTCTCAGCTTAATTTAACCAACTGAACAATAGCAAACATATTTCTTGCCCTTTTATATTTTTCAGTGGACGATTAGGCTCTCTTTTAATTCACAAAAATGGCAATCACACACGCGTTTAAAGCCGGTTTTCCACTAGGCGAAAAAAATGCGCAACCAATCAGAGCTCAGGAAGCGAACCGACGCTTTGATTAAATTCGCCTAGTGGAAAACCAGCTTTAGGACTTGGTTTTTGCCTACAACAAAATTGTATACTAAATACAGTGATACGATGGTGTTGGCTACATTTCAATTATCTATAGTTTTACTTAATATGTACGTTAACTAGTTAAAAAGAAAATTAGAATTTTAAAAATCTTTTGAAAAGTAGGCCTAAATTACCTAAAACTGAATCATTCCAAATAAACAATAACCATAACATTCTATGCTATACATTGTGTACAATAAATACTAATGAATCACATTCCAGTAAGAAATAGTGACATATGAATTATTATTATAAACTGTATATAGATGTAAGCCTAATCAAAATGCATTTCAAAAAGTGGTTGAAATACGGTTAATGGGAATATAAGCCTAACAGAATAATCTATTAATGTTTTGCCTTTTATATTGTGTTACATTATACTACTTTGTTTACGATATAGGCCATATTCTATAACCTATAAATTGGAAGTTCATAAATGGTCCAAGGATAGTGCATAATGGAATAGATTTTGCGCATGTTATGCTATTCTGCCAATGGTAAATAATGAATATATTTTATATAATCTAAACGTATACACGACTAATACAAAATTATCTAGGCCTATGCGCCAAAAACCATGACATAGTTCTTGTATAGGTGTAATTTTGCCCTAACCTGACGTGGAAATGTACCGAATACTCAGCACATTTGAAAACAATTGCGAAAAAATCGCAAGTTGTTCTCGGGTGGGACTCGAACCCACAATCTCCAGATCACTAGCCTGGCATCATACCTCTAGACCACCGAGCTTGCGCCTGATGCCAGGGTTGAACTCGAGTCCAAGTAAGCAGCGGGTACTGCAGTGTTGTGTTGCAGTGTTGGAGAACTTTCGATTTTTTCGCAATTGTTTTCAAATGCACTGAGTATTCGGTACATTTCCACGCCAGGTAGGGCAAAATTACACCTATACATGTTTCTCCTGACGCAAATTCCAGTTATTGTCTATCATTCCATCACGACATAGTTCTTGTTGCCCAAAGCCCAACCGACATAACATTTTTTAAAATGAGGGATTCTTAAGGTTATAGGATGGCCTAAATTTGTGTTTTAGACCACATATTCGTAAACACAATGACTTTTGTAAATCGGTAATAATATTTATTTTTGTTTGACGACCTCGTCATGGCGTCCGACGACGAGGGTCTATGCTTGTCCGACGGGGTGGGAAAATTTACCCTGACTCCCCCCGTTGTAGCCGCCACTGTGATGGTGGTGGTTGCGGTATACGTAGCATCAGGGAACAGTGAAATTACTCACTCTTCCCAGTAACATGTATGTGGCTTACGATATCGTGACGGGTAACTTCTGAAGTATACCTCTACATTGGCGTCATATGTCATTAGCACGTTAAGTTCTATTTTTAGGGGACAATCTAATTTTTGCAGTGAACGCTCACAAACGAGTTAATCACCGATATCTAAAATAGTCGATACCAGCCAAGTTGCCACACTCCGTCTGCAACAAGCATTGTCCGTGTCTATTGTACTTGAATCCCTGGCAGTGAAGCGCCCTTATACATTTCATTCCGCACCGAATGCAACTTTCCATCTCATGTTCCGAATGTTGCCGCTTACAATCGGTAGCCCTAGGTGCTTTAAGATCTACTAACCGGAACATGCCACCTACATCAAAAATACAATAGCAAATATATTAGTGCCCAGGCGAAATTAATTGATTAAAACCAAACAATGACGTCATCTACAGGTGGGAAAAGTGAAAATGAATTAAAAACAACCCTATGTGCGCGGCCCTCGAAGCAAAACTGCTTAGAAAACATCTTGTTTTTTTACGGCCAGTCACCGATCATATGTAAAAAAAAAACATTAAAACTGAGAACAAGTGGTATAAAAACAGTGCTTGGAGGTTTTTGGAAGTTCACTGGACTGGCATATAAAAGTTTGAGTGTGGCCCTCGGTGTTAAATAAAAAATTGACTTCGTCCCTCCGAACGATTTTAATGCCCACCCCTGGCGTAACCCCATGATCAACCAATGCCACATGATGTAGGCAGTAGGACGGTAGGCTACCTACAAAATATAAAAGAGCTCTAAATCGAAGTGCACCAGATAATAATCCGTCAATTTGATACAAATTATTGTTTATGACAGTTTCCTTATTACAATATATACTTCAGTTCGAATAAAAAGTATTAAGAACCACAATGCTCTATTAAACAGAACATCAAAATAAGCCTATTAATACAGTACTTAATGAAAACAAAATTATGTTTTCTTACTCTTCGTTGTAGTAACTGTTCCTGCTGCTGGCGTTAAAACTGGAAATACAAACACATTCGTTTAATTTGTTTTCAAATGTATGGAACAGTCTCATCTTTACGTCATTATTTTAGGCCTACTTCATAATATGATGTAATTCAGGTAAATTACATTTATATGGCAACAGTGGTCATAGTGGGTCAAAGCGATCTAGCATCGGTTACTATGATATAACGTAAACTCAACTCAGAGTCTTCATTTAAAATTTCAGTAATGATAAATAAAATAATAATAATAATAATAATAAATATAATAATAATAATAATAGTAAAATAAAATATAATAATATGATGCACCAATTTATATACAGTATGGATTGAGATGAGATACAACTGTAAAGTACATTTACATTACATTTACTTTCCATTTATTCGATTCTGCAATTTTGATGGATTTTATATTTACATGTTTCTTAATTCAATTTTAATATTTGAATTTTTGTGTGTTGAATATTTCTTTTGTTGCCTGCCCATTAATTGTGGTCACTTTGTTTTAGTCATTAATCTTGTCACCTTTCTTTGTATTTTTAAACAATTTAATGTGCTGTTGACATGCTCAGTTTTAACTGCAATGAAGTTGTCAAAATGAAAAAATCTTGAATTTTTAACGTCAATAAGAGGCAAGGATTAATGGCAGGCAATCATATTTTTGCTCAGCTATCAATCAAACGATACACCCTTTCATGCTTTTGACTTGGTCCCATAATCGAGGCAACAACTTCACTCAAAGGTATTCTTTAATGATTCTCAAAATATCACCTCCATCACCTGTTACCATTCATTAAAGTTAAGATTAGTCTCTGTCTTTCGTTTATATATCATGGCGTACGCAGGCAAAAAATATATGATCCTACAATCGTAATAATGAGAAGAGATTTACGAGATTTTCATTTAGGCCCTATTTAACTCTATGCGTTTTGGCCATCTACGAAATGTAAAGATATTTTTTTGTAATATTTGTCAAACTGTACTTCTTGATTCCTAATCCGCTTATTAGGTTGAGCAACTCTGGTATAGAAGATTATAGAAGTAAAAAATAGAGCTTGCCAAAACTAATCTCTTTATAATTTTAACGTTGATGTACACTCGCTAATAATCCACAGGTTTGGACTATATCAGGCTAAGTCTCATTATGGTTCTTAGAGAGTAGTGTTACTTCTGTCGACAAAAGAAATTACCTGGAAAGTATTATGAGCAAAAGTGCTATCTAGACTCTCACACTTTGTTTTACAAAAACATGTGACATGCCTAACAGTCATGAAGACCATATATAGGCACATCATGACTATATATGGGCACATCATGACCATATATAGGCACATCATGACTATATATGGGCATATAACAGTTTCTTGTAAATGACAATTTGATAGTCTGCACAGAAGTAGGATACAGTCATTTGTAAGTAAGTATCTATCTACCACCACAAAGCCACAGTTTTGCGACCTAGGCCTATATATAATTTACACTTTCAATTCAAATTCAGATGTAACCTACACTGCAAACTTTGTTTAAAAAATAGTAAATAAATTGAAACTGACCTTCATCTATTATCAGTTTTCCTGTAGAAGTGAACATGGGGTGTGGTGAACCGATTGCCTCAGGACAACCCCCGTTCTTCAAAACTCGAATAAGACGATCGCTGGACAGCGTACGTATGTACAGATAATTGCCAAGAGCGATAATATCAATAGGTTGAGATAGCTCAGGGAGTGTGGCACTGCTTGTTATCAATTGCTCGTTTTCCCCATTAAGACTGATGGAGCGTATCTCACCTAGATCTCTATCGGTCCAGAATAGTCTTGAACCTGATAATCAATTTATGTACGGTACTTTTATTTGGTGATTTCAATAACGTTGTTATTGGATCATTATTCTTATACAAAATCTATCAGTTGTCGTTTTATTTAATATATTACTAAGAAACTTTATTGTGGAACGGTTTACTGTATAAGATAAGATATGAGAAGCCAGGGGTGACCAGGGTTCCGAGGAGTGGACCCGAAATATTTGATATAATTCAGCGGGTGAGTAAATAATTTCGTTTACATATTTACTTCATTACCACTGGATTAATAATAGTGTTATAGAGGGTCGGATTGGTTTACAAAAAAAAAAAAAAAAAAAA